GGAGGGGGGGGGTTGGAACATGGCGGGAGAGAGGGATGATGAAAATCAAATTTAAGCCAACAGAAAAACAAACGCAACAAATGAGACAGCAACAAAGTCATGAGTAGGAAAAATGACACGGGGGAAGCCATCTTTCTTGATTTGGTCCCTCCCTTCTCCGGCATGGAGACCGATGAGGAGCGACTGGGGGAACGCAGGGTTCGGGTGAGAGAGAGAGAGAGAGACGCCATCCATCAAGCCGGTTTAGAAGCTCAACAAGAGTGGCGCCGTTAGTGCTGAAGCAGGCAGCCAGTCAGGTGAGGGGAACGGCGTACCGTCATCAGTATTCAACAGAAGCAAAAAGTCTGCTGTGTGTCACAGCGGCGGAAATCAAGGCTGGATTTATACGGCAGGTCCAAGTGCTCAGTTCCGATTTAATACCTCTATCTGATTTTTTTTTTTTTTTTTTTTTTGGACACATACCCAATATGACTGTGGTAACCTCAGGATATTTTTTTTACTCGCGCAAGCTAGCCGGTCGCAGCTTGTAGATGTTGCAGAGCAGTTAGCTTAGCATCGGCGGGAACCTAACTAACTTTATGTGGAGTTTTTCAGTGACATGATTTTTGACATTCATAGCAGGGCTCTATCTCCATCCCACAGGAATTCAAATAAACAGGAATTCACACAATACATTTGTGCAAATCCAGCCAAAGTGAGTCCGAAAAATAATGATGCTAGGAAACACGGGAAAGTAGTCAGCTTGAAAGATGAAGAAGGAAAAGTATTGGAGTCAAATCCAGCAAAAGAGACAAGTCCAGGAGTCGTTATGTCCGCTTTACCAATACACAATAAAGATTTCTTAGCCGATGCAAGCAGAGATGGAAGAGGAGGGCTTCCTGCCACGCATAGTGCACGACGACACATAATATTCACTCTCACAGGGGCCTTCCATAAACAACTAGACAAACAATGTTGTCTCTATCGGCGAGGCAGAGAGCCACAGGAAGACGAGTGGCCAGCAGCAAAATCAATGAGGTGATAGATGAGGACCACTTGTTGGTGCAATCAGCAAACGTGGAGGCCGGCCTATCCCGGCTATCTTTTGGTAAGAGAAGCGCGGTACACCCTGAACTGGTCACCAGCCAATTACAGCTGACAAACAAGCATTGAAACTCACGTTCACATCGACTCACCCTTTGAAGTGCCTGACTGATACGCAATGAAAAGGGAATGGACATTTTTCCGAATGATGGAGTACCCTGCTGGTGGTTTAGGGGTACTGCAGGAGTGAATACATATAAGCGTATTGTTTGTTTTTCTTAATGGATCATCTCGAGACTGTCAAAATCAAATGAGAAATATTGTCACGGGAATCCAGAGTACAACAGAGACTCTCTGGTATTTGATAAAAGTGAAGCATTTGACCTTGCGGGTGTTCGCTCTCCAAGTCAATGTCAGCAAAATGTTGCGTCTGAAAAAGAGCACTGGGACAGCAACATTAGGGCGCACGAGAGCGGAAAACAGAGAGAGCAAAAGATGGATGCCAGACGGTCTGACTCGCTGACCTGTGAAAGCTGCGTCGGAGATGTAAGCTTCTGAGGGTGCATTTACATTGCATGGTTCAAGTGGCACTAGTGTATATTTTAAACATCGGCGCATATCAATAAAGTAGAATGTAGTGGGAAACATATTATTTTAGTAGTTCGATTAAATTCAGATCAGAAAAATATTACTAAGCTGAATTAAATTTGTGGTTAATAAGAGGTTATTTAAAAATGGTGGAAGGTCTGTGCTTGGTTAATTCTGAACATGACTGACGACTGGATATCCCCAGTTATAAGAGGGTGTGCACACTTGTGCAACCAATTAACTCAGTTTATCTTTAGGTCTCCTCACGAATCTTTTTGTTTTCTCCAGGTTACAGGTCACTGAAAACAAATTCAAATGATTCATACTGTATCTTGGTTTGATTTTTTTATTATACCTCACAAAAATCTGGCACTTGGATTGGCTGCGTAAACTTTTTTTAATATATGAATTCACATTACAACCGTTTATTTTTGGTCATTTTAATGATTTATATTTACGGCTACCAAATACTTCAAATACCGCTGTTAATATACGCTGCAGCAAACAGAGAAAATTGAATATCTAAAAAAAAAGAATAATAAACAAAGGCATCAAATCAGAATTGGCCCCATTGCACTGCAGTGTAAATCCAGCCTTAAACGCGTAATTACATTAACTCTTGGTCGACAGAGCCCTCGCACGTTCTTTATCAAATTCTCTACCGTGTTTTAGCGCAAGATTGCCACAGAAGTGTTGAAATGAGATCCAAAGACAGAAAATAGGATCAGCAACATATAGTGGCTTCCGAAAACCTGTCAGCATGCATCACTGCAGGGAGTGAATCAGCGCTCCAGGGGTGAGTTCAGATTGCGCACTCCGACTTCCATTGCCTTAATGCGAGCTTTCACGTAATGGCTCCGACATCTCAATGTGAGTGGAAACGGTCATTAGCATTGACATAAGCGGTTTCCCCCTCTTAGCTTCTCCTAAAAAAAAAAAAAATCCATACCATCATGGCTTTCTTTTCATGCAACCATACCAATGTGGACCAATGCTCTGCAAGAAGACTTAGGTCGGTGTAATCAGATGAAAGTAATCGAACTTTTCTCGAAAAATGTTAACAGTAGCTCATGCTAATATTTTTAAGTGGTTCTCAATGTATTTAGTATTTCCACTTAGTGCCACCTTAACAGCGGAAATTAAAAGACAGCTTGTGGATGGATTTGATATCAGCACCGCTTTTAAGTAGAAAATAACTCGGCAGTGATTCATGGCTTGTCACGTCAATTTTGAAGGAGATAAATACCAACACATTGGAAGGCGGACAAGTTTAGCAGTGTCACACTTGAACAAAATATGCATACTGAGTTTTGTATATGTCACGGTAGGTCGTGGAAAGTATCTGTCATGATGAAAAAAGTTGAAGCAGTTCATGGAGTGAATGGCGAGCAATGTGCTGTTTATATCAGGTGACTAATTGGGACGCAGGATCTATTCAAGGGGCGGTCACTATTTGAGGAACTATGGTAATTCCTGTACAGGTGTTTAGAAGTCTGTAGGTGCATAAGTAGACATAAGTTGGGCTTTGACTTATGAAAACAAACAAGTGTAAATCATGTATTTCACAGGAGAGTTGGCAGCACGTTTGGGAAGCGCTTGGCTTTTGTTCAAATAAAAGACAGAAAAGCTCTAACCAACCCACCGCCCCAGGAAACACTTCTGAGTGCATCACAACAAACTATCTTGTTGTTTTTTTTTTTCTCCACACACGCCCACCTAACAAAACAAAACCGATAGAGGCGGAGAAAAAAAATAAAAACGGCATTTATGAAAAGGCTTTCAACTCCCGGAGCTGTTTGTGAACTTTGAAATGATTGTGAAGGCGAGAGCGAGCCATTACGAGCAATAATTGCTCCCTTTCAGAGACAAGGAACCGCCAGGTCAAACTCATGCCATGTTGCGGTCCCGGGTTTCCTTCCAGAATGTTTTTTTTTTTTTTTTTTAATAAAAAATAGCAATCAACACTGACTGTTGAGTGATTGCCATATAATTACTATTGAAAGAAAAAAAAATCTCATACAGCACAGTGTATTCCGCATGTGCCTGTTTCTAAACCTACGACTTACAATTTAGTTGCATTATAAGGTGCTACTATGGCACTGATTAGCGGTGCTGAAAATTGCAACTGGTACAACGCAGACTTGAATGGGATCAGTCTCGCTCTGATAGAACTGAACAAGAAGATACCGTTTTTTGTTCTGTGAAACAATTGGTAAGTTTGAAGAAGAAGGAAAAAAAATGATCATGACCGAAATGTTGATTAAACTCACATCAGGCATCAAGTCACACGTTGAAGAAGATACACCGCTTGGGCGCCGCATAGAATTCAAATCAGGGATTGCTATCAATAAAGTTTTGGGTTTTTTTTTTTTGGAAGAACCGTCAAATTTGAAGAAGAACGGCAAAGAAAAATAATCACCCCTCGTGCACGGGATCAAGTCACATGTTGCAGAGAGCGAGACAAAGCACAAAGCTGGAAGTAGATTGCTGCTAGTGTTTGGAGTGAAATGAAACAGAATGCGGGTGCGATTTCGGCGAAGGAGATGGTGACGAGCGAATGAGCCGA